GTCTCGCTCTAAATATATATATATATATATATATATATATATATATAAGTATTTGTTATTGTCTGTTTTCCCAAACAGATCCCAACCTCCCAGTTAGCTAGGAGTACACGCACAAACCACCACACATGACATGATTAGGTTGGGTCAGGATCCAAACCCAGGCCTTCTCTGTGTAGCTCCAGTATCACACAGCAGTGTCCTACTACCTGCACCTCCATGGCTGGTCATGTGCTCATTTTTTAATCAGGTTGTCTTTTTGCTGCTGAGTTGTTTGAGTTGCTTATATATTCTGGTACTAACCCCTTGTCAGATATATCATTTGCAAATATTTTCTCCCATTCTGTGGGTTGTTTCTTTACCTTATTGTTTTCTTTGCTATGCAAAACTTTTTAGTTTGATATCATTTTATTTATCTATTTTTCCTTTTGTTCTCTGAGATTTTGAGATTTTATTATTTTATTCAAAAAGTCTTTGCCCATATCAATGTCCTGAAGCATTTTCCCTATGTTTCTGTCTAGTAGTTTGTTTTTTTTTTTTCAGAATTCTTTTACTTATTTTATTTGTTATTATTTTTAAGTATACCAGAGAAAGGGAAAGTGAGAAAGCAAGCTGCCAGATCTGGAACTTGAATTGCTGGGAGTCTAGCACTTTAACTACTACACCACCTGCCAGCCTCAGTAGTTTATGTTTTTAATTTTGCTATAGGGCACATGTGCTCATGAGAGAGGGAGAAAAATGAAAAAACAAGTTGCCAGGTTTGGGACTCAAACCACAGTTGGCCATGTGAGAGTTTAGTACCTTAACCACCACACTACCTGCTTGTTCCCTCACCTCCATCTTCACACTGTCTTTTCTGTGTGTCTTTGTGTTTTTATATGGCATTAAATTTTTAAAATTTATTTATTCATTTATTTTAATTTTATCAGAGAGAGACAGAGAAAGTAAGAAAGCAAGCCACCAGGTCCAGGCCTCAAACCATAGTCAGCCATGTGGGAGTGTCCAGCACCTTAACAATCACATCACCTGCTGGTGGTCTCCTCATGTTGCATATTAATAAAGGATACCAGTCATTGGATATGAGATGACTTCATCTTAACTAATTATATTTTAATGACTATTTATAAATACAGTCACATTCTGAGGGTCTTGGCTGGCACAAGTTTTGGGGGTCCACTAATACTATTTTTAAATTTATTTTCTTAGTGATTGCCTCAGGGGTCCAGTTAAAATCTTAAATTATAGCAATCTAGTTCGGATCTATTTTATTTTGACTCTTCCATGATTTATAAGCTCTTAGAGATATTAAGAGTTATTTCATTACATATTTTTCTTACTTTGCAAGCCTCAATGTGTGAGTCTGTTTTGATGAAAAGCAATGTGAATAGTTAAGCAGATGTTAAATATGGTTGATTTCATGACAGAATAGGCGCTTAAAGGAGGAGCAAAATTGGCACATACGGAACCTGCTTAAGGAACTGAGTGAAGAGAAAACAGAAGGATTACCAGTTGTAACAAGAGAGGATGTAGAAGAAGCAATGAAGGAAAAATGGAAGTTCGAAAGAGACCAGGAACAAAATTTGAAAGGTGATTTAGGAACTTAGAAAATTATCATTAAATTGTATTGGTTATATCTTGAATATATTAATGCTTTTGTTTTCCACTATGTTCAAAATACTGTGGGTTGATTTCAAATGACATCATTACCACCATAGCCACAAACACATGTCGGTAAATGAATAGGACAGGAAATAACAAGGTGGGCAGAGTTGCTGAAGCCAAGTGGAGAGAAGGAATAAGAGCAGTGATCAGAAACAAAGACAGATATGGGCTGGCCCCTGGCTTGGTGGTGAAAGGAACCAGATCCCACATGGCCAACCACAGTCCAAGTACTTGGCAGCTTAGGAAATACATCAGGCACATGTGCTTGCATGCCCCAAACCCAACAGTATGGAGAAATGGAAGAAAAGAGATTGCAGAGTAGTCACACTCCACCAGGAGGTGCTTTCTCCCCCTCACTGTCTCTGTCTCTGACAAGCACAAGTGCCCTCTATTAAAATTAAAAAGAAAAATAGAGGAAGAAAATGTATCTGACTCAAAATCAGACAGTATCTTCTTTCCATTGTGAACTTGTTCTTATGAAATTCTGCTGGGTAATTTCATTGACTTCAGCCTCAGTTTAAATTTGGAAATGATAAGGTGAATATAACAATGAAACATTTTTTTCCTCAATATATCTAAGAAAGCTAAGCTCCCTATTTAGATGGGGGTGGGGAGGGGTTAGAGTTGGAAAAGAGGAAGTTAGGAAGACATCAATAGAAATGGTGCTAGGTGCAGGTGATGAAAGACTCAGAACATACTCTTGCAGTGGGCTTAGGAAATATCGTGGTCCTGGGCTTAAGTCATATACAGTTTTACACATGCATTTCTTAAATCCCTATCCCTTCATCCTAAAATTGCTAAGATTTCTACAACCACTTTTGCCAGAACCTCTATAAATATCATCTCTGCTAGGAAGCTGGAAAACATGGGGAAAACTTGGGCCCTGTCAGGAAGCAGTACCAGAAGCTTGGAGACAGAACAAAAGACTAGATTTTCCTGGATGTCTCCAAATATGGTAAAGAGCTTACTTAACCTAAGCACTTTGCACAAAGCAGGCACTCCAGTTAATAGATATTTGTTGTTTTAAGTGAAACAGTCTCCAAAACCAAACATCAATAGGCAAGCTTCATTTTTAGACATCTCCAAAACTGCTTCTATCTGTCTTTACTGGCAGTAGTGAGGTCATGAGGTATTAAATAGTGTATGCTGAAGGAACACTCTCCGAGAGAGTTCTATTTATGTTTGGAAGTAAGTCCTTTGAGATGGTAGTGAGATCCCAAATGGTACTCAGACATGCTTCACTAAACTGCCATCTAAGGGGAATGAGCCCAGTGAGTTGAGGGGTGCTTTTTATAGATGTGTATATCATACAAGACTAGTCAAGTCGAGTGAGCACAAGAGAAGAGAGCTGGGTATGCATGATGGCCCAAGGAAGAAAGAAGCCTACAGATGCCAAGGAAGACAGTGAAGACAGAAATGTCTGGAAAGAATTTCAGAATTGAGTTACATTCCAAGGAGTTGCTTTCATCTTGTTTTGTTAGAGCAGCTGCTGCTGCTTTATTCAGCAGCTTGTTATGATGCAGAACCTCAGGCCTCATCCAAACTGACTGAATTCTGACAATATCCCGGGGAACTCCTATACACAGTAAGGCCTGAGAAGTACTGCTGTAACTCTTTTCTTCCAACTTCCAGTTAGAGGTCTTTGAGTTGCAAGGATAAAAAATCCAGTTCAGACTAGCCTAAGCATAAAGGAGATACTGATTTTTGTGTATAACCAAACCACAGAAAGGGCAAAGTGTTACTAACCTGGGTCAGGGCAGGGCCTCACATGCTATTAGATCTCAGGTTTTTTGTTTTTGTTTTAATTTATGTATGTTATTTAGAAGGGAAAAGAAAGGTATTCTAAGGAAGTAGAACAGCCACAACATTTAACTTTCCTCCAAAATCCTCAGTGATATCTTCCAACTTTCCCCTCAAACATTGAATGTGGCACAGGGCTGAGATAGTAGCAGTCTGCTCAAAGGACAGGACAGCTGCCCATGGGGGAATATAGTAGTAGCAGTAATTGTTCAGGACTAGCTGGTGGCATGGTGCTTGCATCCCACATGGCCAACTAGTGATTAAAAAACATACTAGGTTCTTGTGTATGCATCCCCAGAGTTACAAAAAGAGAAACAGAAGACAAATCAACATGACTGTTCCCTATAGGGATTGCTTTTCTTACTTTTCCTCTCTTTCAGTGACTCATGCCCTCTGGCAATTTTTTTAAAGTTGTTTAATGACAATAACTAAGCACCATTTGTTAAGAGATTCAAAACATATTATCTTATTTACATCTCTGGAGAAAAGATGTGTCCAAGTCATTGTGTATCACTGGATTGGAGAACATTCCTTTGGTCTGATTAGAATGTTTCGTTCATTCAATAAGCATTTATTCTTTTTTTAATTTTTTTGAGATATTTTTGCTATAGGGCTCTTGTGTTCACTAGAAAGACAGAAAGTGAGAAATCACCCTCCTGGGGGTATAGCTATGCCTCAATCCGTTCTCTTCCATTCTCTTCTTGGGATCTTGGGCATGCATGTACAGACGCCCAGTGTGCATTTTATGCTCCCAGGTCCAGAACTTAATCCATGGTTAACTACATGGGAATTCAGCAACATAACTATTATGCCATCTGCTGGTCCCTCAATAAATATTTATTGAGCACCAAATAATTGCCATGCTCTGTGCTATGTTTTAAGTAGACAGAGATGTAAAAGATGTGATTTTGCCCTCATGGAGCTCTCAGTCAAGTTGGTGTATGGTAGTGAGCCAGATATACATTAAGTTCATTGTACTTGTTTCTTTGTAATGCTTCATCATTAAAAATATCTAATGACTTGATACTCAGACCTGAAGATTGAACAGAACATTATGTTTAGCAAATGTTCCAGAGCAAACTAAAAATAAATTTATATAATTGAGATAGCTCAATATCTGCTTATTTAACTGGGGAGCTAATCGTTGACTCTGAAGTCTTATTAAGTGGGGAGTAGGAAAAGACATGTCAGTGTGTTGATCACAGACTACCATTTCACACAAGGACAGTTCAATGAGAGTCTACTGGCTCTCCCTATAGCAAAATTTTTAAAAAAAGAAAATACCCACAAACAAAATGGATACCAAGGAACTGGGAAAGACAAGTTGAAATCACTTTTGTTCAAGGAATAATGGCCAGAAAAATGACAATTTGCTAATAAAGAATATATATGATACAATATGTTGTACAAAACAGAACCCTTATTAAGCTACCATGGGAATAATTTAATCTGTGAGTTCCTGGCATATGGATTAACTGTCTATTCCATCATTCAATCATAGCCTCAAACTACACATCTACTTCATAATTGCAAGTTTAATTATATTTAGATTTTGAATCATGAAGGAAAGATAAACAATAGTTAAATAATTTGGATTGCCCTAAATTGTAGATATAAAATAGTATTTATAAATTAACTATATCAGACCTTAACTTCATAAAACCAAATTGCAATATATAATGGTTACAAGGACAGTAGGAATGACTGGGTGTCTTGTTTTTCTTTTCAACAGACATGCGCATGAAAATAACTAGTGCTGAAAAGCTATTTCTTGAGAAGCTTAGTGAAAAGGAATATTGGGAAGACTATAAGAATGTAGGGAGTGAACAACATGCTAAACTCATTACCTCCTTACAGAATGACATCAATACAGTTAAAGAGAACGCAAAAAAAATGTCAGGTCAGTTGTAACAAAACTAGTTCAATACAAAATCTTTAAGACGGCATACATTTGGTGACAGAAAAAGAAAATGAGTACTCCCCAAATCCTCCATTACTCTGTTGTTAGCACAAACAGCTGTGGGTCTAAGGGTAAAGGCAGAGGAAGGAAGAAGAAAAATGATCCCAGGACCACCTATGAAACAGAGGAGGAGAAGTAAAGGGATAGGAGATGGTAGAGAAATTCTGCCACCAACTGACCTCAAGAAAGAAGGGTCAGGGACTAGCAGTTGGTGTAATGGCTATGTTGCTGGACTCCCATGTAGCCAACCACGGTTCGAGTCCCAGACCAGGTGGCTTAAACTCATGCTGGGCACATGTGCATGCGTGCCCAAGATCCCGAGGGGAGAATGGAAGAGAAGGAATTGCCATGTGACCGTCCCCCTGGGGGTTGATTTCTCACTTTCTGTATTTCTGTCTCTCTCTGTCTTTCTGGCGAGCACACATGCCCTATAGCAAAAAAAAAAAAAAAGAAAAAAGAAAGAAATAAAAAGAAAGAAGCATCATTCAGTGAGTGGTATCTGTTTTTGCTACCACACTTGGGACAATTCCACCAAAGTAGCAGGTTGCTGGGGTCAGATTGTATTAAAAAGAGAATACAAGTGAGGCAAAATAAGACAACTTAGCCAGACTAGTCAACCAGAATCAGGAAAAAAGCTGAAGTAAATTAATTTGTAGTCAGAAAAGTTGGAAAACAAATGCAGGGTCTAGGACTTGAACTAGAGTGGAACATGTAGAGTCCAATACCTTAACCTCCACACTACCTACTGGCACTCCCTATAGCAAAATAAAAAAAAAAAAAAAACCTACAAACAAATGACTAATGGGGAAATATTTTCAATTTATATCACAGAGAATTAATCTTAAAATGTAAATAATTTCACATGATAGAAAAAAGGAGTGAAGAATGTGAAGAAATGGTTGACAGAAAAGGAAATTCACACAGCTTTTGGACTTATGCACCCCAGCCTTTGACAGGTCAGAGTAGAGGAATGTCTTCTGTGGACCTGTTAGGCAAGAGAGCTGGAGTTTAGCCACATTTAATCTTGCCTGAGATGGAGACTGCAATGCACATGCCATGTCCCAACAAAAAACATGATGCCTGTGTGTGTGTGTGGTGGGGGGAGTTTGAGAGCCATGAGACAAAGGGAGCATAGGATGAAGAATCACTCACATTACCCACATCACCTTTGGACAGCCTTTTTGGCTGAGCTCACCTTTTCTTTCCTTTTTTTATTTTTTAGCCATAGGGTACCTGTGCTCACGAGAGAGAGAGAAAATGAGAAATTACTCCCCAGAAGAAGGGCCATGCTGCAATTTCTTCTCCTCCATTCAGGATTTTGGGCACACATGTATGTATACCTGGCATGATTTTCAAGCTACTGGGTCCAGGACTTGAACTTCAGTCAGCCATGTTGGAAGCCACCTTAACCACTGTGCCACTTACTGGTTCTTCTCTGGCTCATCATAAGGATGGGTCTGCTGACTTTCTACTCCTCACTCAGTTCTTCTCATTTTGCCTTTCCTATTGAGGGATATGCATGTCAAGAATATTGGAAATCTAGTTAGATGGTGTCAGATATGCAGGATGCTACTCAATCAAATAATAAACTCTTTGGATTTCTGTTGCAGAATCAATAAATTGTATGGTCGTATGTACTTACATGTTCAGAATTTTCCCTTTGGAGAAATAATCTTTTGAAAATAAAAACATTTTTGGAAGAGAGATCTTATACCAATTCAGTTATAGTTAGAAATTATTGGAGCATTTCTTCTAATTGGAAGAACTAGATACTTTTTAATATCTAGTAAATTTGGGGTGGGGAGATATAGAAAGAAGAGACAAGAGTAATGAAAGAGAAAGTTTACTAATATCATACTTTTACCTAGGATCAGCCTGGTTAAAGCTTCTCATTTTCTTTTTAAAGAACATTATAAAATCACTCTGGAAGATGCCAGAAAGAAAATAAATAGAGAAACTTTGTTGCAGCTGGACCAAAGGAAGGCATGGGCCACTCAGGTATATTTTAGCTTTCTTAAAAATAAAACTTTTTCCCCTATGTATCCTTTAAAAAAAAATGCCAGAGGGCACATGCATGTGAATAGGAGAGAGAGATAGAGACACACACAGAGAGAGAAAGCACCTGTCAATGGGACCTGGTCATACTAAGTTCTTTTTTCCCCCAATTTTCCATCCTGCCAGGATTCTGAGCACATGTATATGTATGCCTGGTATCGTTTTCAAGCTGCCAGTGTCAGAATTCAAACCCTAGTTGGCTGTGTGGGATCCAGCTTCCTGTGCACAGCACTTAATTGCTTCGCTAAAGGCCTGACTATTCTCCTATTTTTTTCTTGTGATTTATTTGCATGGAAAAATACATCATGACTTTCCCAACAACCTAATATTATAGTGGTCAAGAACTTGTGTTCTGGGCCACCTCGTGTAGCACAGTAGTTAAGTGCTGTGCACTGGAAACTAGAGTCCATGTGGCCAACCACAGATTGAATCCTGACCTGATTGGCTTGAAAAACATGGCTGGCGCATGTGCATGACAGAATAGAGAAATGGAAGAAAAAGGATTGTGGTGTGACACACTCTGTTGGAGGAAGGGGGTGCTTTCTCTCTCTTTGTGGTGAACACATACACTCTCTGGCAATTAAAAATTAAAAAAAAAAAAAGCAACTTGAGTTCTAAAGTTAAGTAGTTTGAGTTTAAATCATGGCCCTTGAAATTGTTACTTAATTTTTCTGGGCTTCTGATCCTAATCTATAAAATGAGGACAGTAATATTACTGATCTTAATCTTCACAGTGTGAAGATTAAATGAGATCATTTAAGTTACACAGTCACAAGGAACAAAAGCTCAGTAAATAATTCTTTATTTATTTTATTTAGAGAGAGATTTTTGCTATAGAGTGTGTGGGTTCACCAGAGAGACAGAGAGAGACAGAGAGACAGAAAGTGAGAAATCGACCCCTAGGGAGATGGGAACACTGCAATCCCTTTTCCTTTATTCTCCTCTCAGGACCTTGGGAACGCATACACATGAGCCCTGCATAAGTTTTAAGCCACTGGGTCTGGGACGTGAACCACAGTTGACTACATGGGAGTCCCGCGACATAACCACTATGCAATCTGCTGGTCCCTAATTATTTATTTTTTATAACAATAATGGCTATAACAAAATATAAAAATAAAAGTTTTAGATGAATTATACAATAGAATAAACTATAATTGTCCTAAAAATTACTTTCTTATAAATCCAATCCTAAAAGAATATATTCTATGTTGCTGGAACTTTAAAAATTTGGGACATCAGATGGTTTTTGAGATACAAATCCCAATCTTATGTTTTCTAATTTCTTTGTTTTATAAAATGTATGTGAACTCTTTTTTTTAATAGTCTTTATCTTCAAACCATCTCCTAAATCAGTGAGACCACTGTAAGATTGTCTCTTTAACTGGGACATCTTTTCTTCAGAATCATAAACTTCTAGTTATTTTGTTTGATTGTTTGTTTATTTGTTTTAGTTTTAGCTACAGGGTACATGCACTCGCCAAAAAGAGAGAGAAGAGAGAGATCAATTCCCCCCCCCCCAAGGGGGCATGGCCACACTACAATCCTTTCTCCTCCATTTTTCCGTCAGGATTTTGGGCGTGCATGCACACATGCCTGGCATGATTTTCAAGCCACTGGGTATGGGACTTGAACCACACAGCTGGCCATGTGGGATTCAGCACATTAATCATCATGCCACCTTCTGGCCCTAAACATCTAGTCCTTTTTAAAGTTCTTAACTGAATTTCAGTTGCTACTGTTCGTTGCATCTTTGTTCATTTGTTCTTTCAATGTTACCCTCTGCATGATTTTTATTGATTTGTACAAATGCAGGGGATTATGTAGAACTGATCAATGATTGCCACCCAGTTATTTTGTGACTGAAGCTAAATAGATGGTAAAATCAACCATTAAGTGATCTGATCATAATTAAGATAATTTAAAATGCACATATTGAGCAAATAAACATATAATCTTAAGCATATATCATGTGGTTCATTCCAGATACTCTTCTAAGCATTTTACATTTAAGGCTCTTAGTAATCTTTTAAAATGTAGGGACTTACTGATGAAGAGACTGAGACACAGAGAAATTTTTGTGACTTGGCCTGAGTGAGCAAATCAGAATTGAGAATTCAAGAGGTCTCCTTCAAACCACTGCTCATTATCATTCCACTTTGTTCTGCATAATGCTGAATACTCACATTGATTGAATTTTCCTCATTTTAGCTGTCTTGATGTATAGTTCAGCTTTCTGTAATCCAATGCTGCATGACCTTAGCTACATGTTGAAGTTACCTGAGACATGTTTTAGCCCAGGTGGTGCCTTGGGCCCACCCATAGAAATGCTAATACAACTGTCCTAGGCTGTTGCTAGGTCTTCTATTTTTTCCTCAGATTTTTAAAAAAATAATTATTATTTATTCAGTTTTATTCATATTTTATTTTATTTTATTTTACTTTAAACTTGCTACAGGGCATGTGCACTCACCAGACAGAGACAGAGAGAAAAAGTGAGAAAGCAAGCTGTGGTTGGCCATATAGGAGTCCAGCACCCTAATCACCACACCACCTGTTGGCCCCATTTTTCAGATTTTTGTAAAGCTTCCAGGAGATTCTAATGTATAGCTAAGGTTGAAGTCATTGCTTCATTGTTAGTGAGTAAACCATTATAAAACTGCTTCAGTTAGGAGCTATAGCCTGTGTTTGTTCAAATGAAATTCTGTGTTGGAGGAAACTAGAAGTACTAGTATTAGCTAGAGTATAAAAAAAGTATGTTTCTTAGGAAATATACATCCACTCTTAGTTTAATAAACATGATATAAAGAAATAAATTTATTATAAATCTTCTAAATTTATCCTTAATAAATAACTACTAGAGTCTGGGAATGATGGGAGTTGGGGAAGATGGAATAGAGGGATGTTGATGAACAGAAATAAAACTGTCAATAGAAAAAAAAATTACCCTTTGTCAGCATCTGCCCTCGGGGCTTTGTCCTGTGAAGAAAAGAATTAGAGTAAAGAAAGAAGACGCAGAAGCAGAAATGCAGGTGAACACAGACAAGCTGTGCTGAGTGTCTTTGTTTATACATTTTACCAGGCACAGTGAACTGTTTATAAGCTTTCAAAGATGTGGTGGAAGTTATACAGTTAGAGATAAAGACTTCTAGTGCAGACATTTTTTGACCTTGTTACTATCATGTGTGATCCTATTATGCATCATAGGTCAAAACAGTTTACTTACACTGGTCCTGTGTGACTTTGAGGAAGGCTGTCTGAGTATGCATCAAAGAGGATAATATGTAAGCCATAAACATTATATAGAACAGGCATTGCATGACCTAGCCAGGGTCAGGATGTTTCTTGTACCCCAAAGATTTTTTCCAAGGAGCCCCTGGTATCTAAAGCATGAGTCAGCTGGCTCAAGTGAGTATTTAACAAGACATGCAGATAATTGCTACATACTGCCACACTGCATACTCTTACAACACTTAACATACTTTTAAATTATTTCTGTCCATGCTTATGATCCAGAATATTTTTCTTAATTTCTCTTCACTTGTTTATGTCCTTCCATTAGTAAATACTGAATTTGTAATATAGTATACATCTACAAGCATCTCACAGAGAAATACAATCTGTCATCCACTATAAAATTCTTTTGGGTAAAACTATAAATATTTAGGTAAATGAAAATGAATTTATGAACCTACTGACAAAGTAAGGCTTTTCCTGTTTTGTCTGAAATGCCTTTCTTCAGGAAACTGTCTAGTTACAGCCTTACCCTAAAGTCACTTGCTACTATGCTTATAGATAGATGTATTGTTATTACTGACATGTAGAACTTTTTCAAACTAAAAAGATAGTATTGTAATCTATTTGTAGTTATGTCGTCTGCTGGATAGGTCTATGACTATAAATTTGAATGATCACTGCAGCTTATCCACCTTATTTGTGAAGCTCACCTAATGATGATTCTCCCATGCCAGTGAGAGTCAGTCACAACGGAAGTCAAATGAATGAATGCTACACTTGGTCCAGTCCCCTAGAAACCTTGATTAGACAGTGAAAATGAGCTAAAACAAAACAGTAGGATAGTAAAAAAAAGAACAACTGAACCAAAAATTCTTAGGTATATTCTCAAAGTAATTGTAAAACAAATACTTCAAAATGAATAATCCAATAAACTGACTGCACATCACCATTGCTAAAATTACAGGTAACTCCTTAATACAGAAACTTTTTTTCAGAATGCTGTAAGGTTCATTGACAAGGGCAGTTATCGAGAGATCCAGGAGAATGACTGGCTAAAAAAAGAGGTAAGTGGAATTTAGCAAAATAAACAATTTTTCCTTTCTCATAGTTTTGAACTGGAAATTACTTTTATTTCTGAATTGAAGTCATGGGAAAAGCATGAAACTATGACCGAGATAAAATGAAATTCAAGTGGAGTACTAATCTTATTACAAGTTGTTACTCAACAAATGCCATAAATAATCTCAATAATAACCAGAAACAGTTTTGGGACGTACAGTTCATACACTGTACTCAACTGTGCAAAGCTCTTTATGTCCTCAAACTGGTCTGGTTTCCCTCATGAGCCCATTTCCTCCAGGGTAATGGGGGCAAGGCTAAAGGACATTCTATCACATTCTCTGCTGATTTAAGTTGCCTCTTCCAGAGGACATGATCTCCCTTGAATAAGTACTCAGCATTTTAGATTTCCTTTTTTCCCCTGACTCTCACCCAGGATAGACC